TTTTTTCTTCTATTATTCGTAGTTTCTCATTTATTTCTGTTCTTTCTTCTTTTGTTACTTTCTGACCTTCTCTTGTTTTTGCCTGCTTAATTAATCTTTGCAGCTCTACAATGTTCTTTTCTTAATGTTACTTTTTTTGGTTGTTTCTTCTATTTGTCAGTATATTGTATATCTTTTTCTTAGGCAAATGCTTACTAGCTGCTGTAATAATTGCTTCTTTTAATATATCCCATATGCTGTTTATATTATTTGTTTCTTTCTTTTGAATATTCTTTAGCACCTTCTTGACTTCTAACTGCTTCTGCAACTCTTGTGTATATTTTTTTCAGTTTTTTTCTTTTGCTTGATCATATAGATATACTGTTCTTAATTGTCTTTTCTTTTTGATTTCAGCTTTGCTACTTCTTGATATTATGTATTTAATCCATATTTCTTTTTTTACTATTTTGTAATTACTTTTTGTAATTCCCTCTGCATCTTTGATTTCTGCCTTCTGTAAATCTAAGGCCAGTTTTTCTGATACCTATATATAGTCAATTCTTTGTTGCTGCTTCTCCATTTGATCATGTAAATTCTTAACCTGTTGGATGCATGTCTTTGTAACTGTTGCTAAAATTCTGCTTTTTCATCTAATTAAAGATTGGCAGTTTTTTGAAATTTGCTACTTGTAGGTGTTGTCTGTTCAATACATTATTTGCTATGTAATTAAAATCACCTAAAATAACTATTTGCATTTGTCTTTTTTTTTTGGTAACTATTTTTACTATTTTTTGTTGAATGTTTTTTTCTACTGCCTTGTTACTTAATGGTATGTAAACTTCTAAAACTACTAACTCTAATTGCTTGAAGTATAGTATAAGTTCTATCATATATTCATTTATCTTTTTAACTGTGTCTACATGTTTTTCCTATTGTTCATTAATCATAATGCCTATACCTGATCCTTTCTTTTTGTCTTTTGCTGCACTTGACCAAAACTCTATATATTTCTTATTTGTTGTCTGCATTAAGAAACTCTCTTCTCTTTCTGTAAGGTTTGTTTCTGTGATATCTAGTATTGTGACATGCAATTTTAATCTCCTTTCTTTCTTCTTTCCATTTTTCTTTTAATTGTTCTTGTATTGCTTTTGCTATTTCTTCTTTTTCTTTTTTCTTTTTTCTCTTCTTTCTTCTTTTGAATAAGGTTGTGTTTTCCCTTTTCTGTTTTCAAAATTTCTTTTTTCATTTTATAAAAACTCTTCTATCTCCTTATCTATATTCATAAATTCAACTAAGGCATCTTTAGGAGCAATTGGCCATTCCTTCTCCTATCAAGACACTTATTTTCTCTAGTTTTTCTAGCCTTTCTAAGATTTGGCCTAACATATCCTCTATATATGTATTCTTTTCTTGTTGATACATCTTATCTTTCTTTTCCTTTTTCTCTTGGCTTTCTTCTTTCTCCTTATCTATACTTCTGTATCTTCTTTGGTTTTTAATATTATGTCTTAGACTGTTGTTTTCTTCTTTTATCATTTAAGCTTTTGGTATTGGATCTTTCCAATTATTCTTCCTGTTCATATATGTTCTGTTTTATTGATTTCTTTCTTTACTTTCATCTTCTTCTGTATCGGAATTTTGATTTAATCTGTTCTAGCTTCTTTCTCTTCTATCTTTGAAATTTCATCTTCTTTTGGGCTCTCCTTTTCTTTTGTTAACTCAGTATACTCAGAAATTGTTGTACATAATTGGTTTTGATTGTGCTACCTTCATGTCTTTTTCTGTTGCGAATGTAATCAATGCTGTTCTTCTTTGGTTCCCATTTCGGTTTGGTAGGATGTATACTGACTTTGCTTCTTTACTTCTTAGACATTGTAATAATAAGACTTCTAAAGTATTTCTAGGTAATTCTGTTAGTTTGGCTATATGTTTTCTTTGTCCTTCTCTTGCTTCATGGTCTTCTCTTCCTCTTGTTACTCTCACCAACTTATTGTTGTCTGCTGGCAATGACTATGAAATATCTTCTTCTTCTATGTTTTGTGTTTATACTATTGCTAAAGCTTTGTACTTGAACCTTTTAATGCATACTATCTGCACATCTTTAATTCTTCTGCAGATATATTCTACTTCTTTTTTGTTTATATTAGCCAGTAGGTCCTATATTGTTAGGTAAGTTACATTATTACTAGGTTTTTCTTCTTTCTCATATTTCTCATTGTATGGTTCTTCCCTGTTATTGCCTACTTTAATCTTCTTTTTTCTGAATCTTGGTATGTGTTTTCCTTTATTTTGATGTTTTTCCTTGTAATCTTTGAGTTCTTCTTTTTTTTTTCTTTTTCTTTTTCTTCTTCTGGTATCATCTTGTACCAATCACTCTTTTTTCTATTAATTTTTTGTATCGCTTTCTCTCTGCCATAGTTGCAGTCAAAAACCACTTCTATACACAGATTTCCTTTCTTGAATACTTCATCAATGTCTTTCACATGTGTATTATTTTTTAAAGACCACCTAATAAACTTTATACATTCTTCTTTTGTTTCTCCAAGAACCTTATATGCTGATATAATGACAATTAAGCTATTGTTTCGATCACAATTTCTTTTGCTTGGTGCCTATATACTTTGTTCTAATGCTATTTCTACAATGTCAATTTCTTCCTCTGTTTCTTGCTTTCTTCTTTTTTGTCTTTCTCTTTCCTTTTCTAGTGTGTTTTGTCTTGATTGCTTGTTATTTATTTCTATATCTTCTTGTTCATTTATTCTTTCTTGTTCTTTGTTTTCTTGTTTCTGAGTAGTGGGTCTTAATATAACTTTGTTATTAGCTTCTGTCCTTACCTTTGTTTCTTTTTCTTTTTGTGTTATATTAATTTTCTCTTGTTGTTTTTCTATATTTTTGAGTTTTTACTCTGTAGTTCTCTTTTTTTCTTGCTTCTGTTTTGCACTTTTTTTTTGATTTATTATTTCTATTTTTTGTTGCTTTTTGTTATTGTTGTTGTGATTGTATTGTGTTTGTTTCTTTTCTGCATCCTAACTTTTTGTAGTTATGTCTAGCTTCTTTTCAGATTGTTGTTCTTCAGTTTTTTTCAGTATTTTTCTTATTAATTATAAAAGAGCTACCTCATATGGGTCTTGCTCTGTTAGTATTGCTACAATTCTGTCTTCTCTATTTGGTACTGTATATGTTTTGCCTGCCTCGTTAAAAAAAACTTTATTATGCACACTACTCATTGTCTAGTATGCTCTTCTTATAAAAATAGTTTGTAGATTCTCTCTATATTTTTGTGATATGCTTTTGTCTATTTTGTGGCTTATTTCTTTAGAATGTTCTGTTATATGCTTTGTTATATCTTGTTTATCTGTTGTTCTATCGATGATTTGTCTATACTATTTGTTTAACTACTTTGCACATGTCTGTTTTGCCTAATCTGTTATGTGTTGCTTGTATAATATAACAGATCAGCATACAGGGTCAATGGCAATCCTTACAATTTCTGTTTGCTTGCTAAATTTTTCAAAGAAACTTGAGTTTTCCTTTACTGTTGCTTTGCTAATGCCTGCAGTACTTTCTATTACTAAGCTTGTTTAATGCTCTTCTTATTGCTGTCTCTTTTCTTTAATGCTGTTTGTAACCTTTCTTATTGCTAATTATGCAGAAAATCTATTTTCTTTTTTACTGATTTCATGTTCAAGTGATCATTAGGGAGAGTGATTTGTTAAATGAAATTTTGATTTTCTTAGCATTAATAATAACTTGATTGCTAAATTATATTCTAATTATAATAATCAATGAAAATTACAAATAAGTATAATTATTATTATTATAATTAGTGGTATATATAAAACCCAAAAAAGAAAATTATTACAATAATTAATAATCAAGTGCATTGTTATAATTTTCTTTTTTGGGTTTTACCTATAATATTAATTATAATATTAAGAGGATCCTGAGCTATTCATATATAGGTTAGTGTATTAGATGCATAGTCAACTTAATAACTTTTTTATATATAAGATCTAGATTTGTGTAGAATTGGCTAAATTTATAAAAAAAGTTAGATTTTTAAGTTATCTAATTTTAATCGAATTTTAAAATATTAAAACCTACTAATGTATATTTTTAGTATAAAATTAGTATAAATATATATACTGCCAAGAAAAAAACCTGTTATTGATTATATAATTAAGAATAGGTCAGTTTTGTTTGCTATATTCATATTCTAATATCAATGTTATTTAATTGTCTAATGAATATAATATATTTAGAATAGATTTAATTAGATATATCATATATAATTTGATCTACTAAGTGATGGCTTCACATTAAAATAAACCTGGAGTTTTATAAATTTAAAAATGTTTAACTACAAATTTAAATCAAAAAACAAATAGACTTTGTAAGCATTGTGAATAAAAACTCTATATTCAAATTAAAAACAAAATATGTAAGTTAATAAAATATTAGAAAGTACATAGAGTGCCAAAAATGTATCAAGTAAGAAAAACTTTTATTTGTTAAAGCTATAATTAAAGTAATTGTATTCATATTAATAGTACTATATTAAAAATATATTTATTAGTACTATATATAAATAAGCAGGAAAAAAAAATTACAAAAACTTATTTATAGCCAGACAATATTTTAATGTTTTAGATTGGTCTAAATCATTAAAACAAGATATTATAAAAATTTTGTCAAGTTAGATTTTAAAAACAAAAAAAAAAAAAAAAACAATGTCTAAGTAGAAATATAGTAAAGAATGACTACTAAAATATGAGTTTTGTGCTCATATTATTAATCAAAAAAGGTTATATATATATGTGACAAAAAGATTCAACTGCATTGAAAATGAAAAGAAGATTATCTAAAGCAACATGCTAAAAGTTCTGGTTGCAAAGCTAAGAAGAGCCAAAGATCAATTTATAATTTTTTTAAACCTACTAATAACCAACTTGCAAGTTTGGATGAAGAATAAGATTCAGACATTTATAATAATATAAATAATGATGATTTGTTACAAATAGATGAAATGGATGAAGCAGAAGAAGTAAATAATAATACATTAGCATTGACTATTCTTACAAATAATGAATTATTAAGTGATAGACAAAAGTCTAAAAAATATTTAATTTGCCAAGGTCTTCAATCTGAACAAATTTCTGATTATATTAAATGTACTTCAGTACAATTTGGCAGTTCATGCCATATAGAAGTTATTGCATGTGAAATTTTTCCAAAATTATTTTTTTAGAAATTTAGTAGAAAAAAGCTAAACTATGATCAAAAGCAAAAATTAAATTATGCTTTATATGTAGAGTCTACTTGACAAATAGATCAAAATAGTAAGTTATATGAATTACTATATATTATTAATAATTTAATTTGAATAAAATAAAATTATAATTATTACTATTCTAAATAGGTAATGCTATACATGCTAAGATGTGTTCAGGAATTGCAGAAAAAGGCGATATTTATAATAAATGTCATTATATTCGATTTGATAAAAATCTCTGTAATAGAATTCTAAGAAAAATATTAGTATAAAAAAATGCTAAATTTACATCTAAATTTTATTAGAAAAATAATTCCTTAAAAAATCATCTTCAAAATCTTGATCTTCGTAATATATGGAATTTATTTAATAATGATAATAAAGATTAAACATCAAATCTTTGGATTATATTGGCTAATAAGGCTATAAACAGAGCATTTAAAGATTTATCAATCTTTTTAGGACTTTGCAAAGTAATGAATAATGCTGCTGAATGAAAAGCTAAGAATAAAAGTAAACAAAATTTAAAATATAGTAAAGCATTTACAAATTTTTTAGTTATTCTAAGAAGTATTAGTCCAAGAGCCTTAGATTTATTTCATCAAAACTTAGAAGGAAGAGGAATTTAGTTACTCAGGTATTAGTTATTGCAATGCAATAAAAAGTTGAAATCTTAATAGTATCTTAATATATATTTTGAATTTTACATTTGATATATATTAGAAAATTACATTGTAATAATGAAGATTATTTAACTAATCTAAATCTTTGTTTTGAAAATATTGCTCACTTTAAATGGCTTATTGACATGATTCAATATAATAGTCCAATCATTGCAATAACAAACAATACTAAGTTAAAACCACAACTAAAATATTCTTCTACACTTGGGTGTATTATTGGATCAATTCTTTTTAAAAAAAAAACACAAATTAGCATTTACTTAGATATTCCAAAAGTAATTACAAAAATTAAAACATCAAACAAAATTGCTAAAACTGTTCATGCATATTTTTTACAGATATGTTAAATGGGTTTTGTCTTAAGAATAATCTTAAAAATATAGTAATTACTATGTTCTATCAGATTTTTTTTTTTTTCCCTTAAGCAGTCATGCTAGTACTTTATTAAGATTTTGAAATTACATTTGCAATTACATAAATA